CCCAGGATCCACCCAGTTCACCAGACTTTAGTCCTAACAACAACAACAAAATTCCAACCTTTATTTCTGAAGTTCTCTTTGCCTCATGTTTAAAGAAGTTCACAACACACAGGAAAAGATCTTCTTTTTTAAGGTCATATTCTCCTTTTATCTTGGAAACAAGGCAGGTGTATCAGAGGTGACTTTCGAAGTCTACTGGAATTAGAGCCCAAATAGCAGTTTGAAGTCTTAAAGATATAGGCACAAGTTATATTAGTGAAATCAACTGCCTATACATAGTGTGAACATCTGGCATATTTGATTCTTGCAGCAATGCACTCAGGTAAATACTATTTTTATTCCCACTTTACAGATGAGGATATTTTTTAATTAAAAAATTGTATTTACTTAGAAGCATTCAGAATGTCAACAAAACAGCTGCAACTTTTTTTTTTTTGCAATTACATTCAGTTAACAGAACAACAATTATTTTGTATAAGCTGCATCAGAGACAACTGAAGATGAAAGAACTACCGTCCCCATATATAACTAATTTGTGCTGTGCACCAACAAGAACCTGCTTTAAATTTCCATGCCAATTTACAACCCCTATACTGTACCAGGCAAGGTTAGTGGCTATTGAAAATACCACCAGGACAGGGCTATCTAAAGACACATTCGGTAGTGTGTTAACTGTACAAAAAAAGACACTGTACAGTTTAAAAACAAATCTTACACAGCCTTACATTTCAATTTTTTTCTTTAAAAGGAGTGAGTTGTGTACAGGGGGGTTAAATGCTTTATAGACAAGGAAAAAAAACTGCGCTAGAATCAACTTATTCACCATCATCATCTTCTTCATCTTCCTCTTCTTCCTCATCTTCCGCCTCCTCCTTCTTTTGCTCTTGTCAGCCTTGACAACTCCCTTTTTTGCTGCATCAGACTTTCCTTTAGCTCAGTATGCAGCAATATCCTTTTCGTATTTTTCCTTCAGCTTAGCAGCCTTCTTTTCATAAGGCTGTTTAGCATCTGCAGCAGTGTTATTCCACATCTCTCCCAATTTCTTTGCAACATCACCAATGGATAGGCCAGGATGTTCTCCTTTGATTTTTGGGCGATATTCAGAACAGAACAAGAAAAAGGCTGAAGGAGGCCTCTTGGGTGCATTGGGATCCTTGAACTTCTTTTTTGTTTCCCCTTTAGGAGGGATATAGGTTTTCATTTCTCTTTCATAATGAGCCTTGTCCGCCTTTCCATATCTTCAAACTTTCCTTTCTCTTTAGCAGACATGGTCTTCCAGCTCTCTGAGCACTTCTTAGAAAACTCTGGGAAGTTGACTGAAGCATCTGGGTGCTTCTACTTGTGCCCCTCCCGGCAAGTTTGCACAAAGAATGCATATGATGACATTTTGCCTCTCGGCTTCTTAGGATCTCCTTTGCCCATGTTTAGTTATCTTTCCCCCGCGAGGCAGAGAGTCGCCCAGTGCCCGTCTGGCTCTCACTTGCCCCAGCACTGTCTCTATGGAGCTCAATGAACTTACAGATGATGATATTGAGGCTCGGAGAGATGGCTTGGTTTGTACATCACCCATGTGGTAAATGGCAGTGTCAGGATTTGAACTCTAATCTGACTCCAAAGATGTGGCATTTAGAACCACTTGTTGTCAGCTACATTCCCTATGACAGTGAATGAATGAATGAATGAACAAAATGCATGCTACTCCAAAGACTGGGAAAGCAACATTTTAGAATAAAATTTATAAGTATATCAAGGTTTTTTGGTGTAAATATTAGTTAGATGGGAATTTTTCTTTAATTAAAAAGAATGCAATAACAAATGTTGGTAAGGATGTGGAACAACTGAAAAGCACACTGTGAATGCTGGTGGGAATACGAAATGGTAAAACTGCTTGGAAAACCAATTTTGCTGTTTATTATAAAATCAAACATGCTTAGGACCAGCAGTTAGCATAATGGCTATGTCGCTGGACTCCCATGTAGTCGACTGCAGTTCGAGTCCCGGACCTGGTGGCTTAAAACTCACACTGGGTGCATGTGTGTGCGTGCCCAAGATCCCGAGAGGAGAATGGAGGAGAAGGGATTGCGGTGTGGCCATCCCCCCTGGGGGGTGATTTCTTGCTTTCTGTCTCTCTGTCTCTCTCTGTCTGTCTGATGAGCGCACATGCCCTATAGCAAAAACCTCTCCAAAAAAAAAAAAAAAGCTTGCTCTATGACCTTTCAATTTCAGTGCCAAGGATTTACACAAGAGAAATAAAAATAAGCTCACACAAATACTTGTACATGAATATTAAATAGTTTTAATTACATAACCCAAACTAAAAACAGATCATCAAAAATTCATGGGAAATGAGTGTTAGGAAAAAAAAGGATGGATTTCTTTTTTTTGCACCAAAATAAACTCATACTTTAATTCCATTTTTCTTTCTTCTTTCTTTCCTTCTTTTAATTTTTAAATATTTATTTATTTATTGCTATACGGTGTGTGTGCTCACTGGAGAGGAGAGAGACAGTGAGAAGGAAAATGAAAAATTACCCCCTCAGGGAAGACGGCCACACCACAATCCCTTCTTGCCCATTCTCTTCCTGGGATTTTGGACACCCAGCACATACACCTGATGTGATTTATAAGCCACCAGTTTCAGGATTTGAACCATGATCGCCCATGTGGGAATCTAGTGCCTTAACAACCACGCCACCTACTGGTCTCAAAAGTGTGTGTGTGTGTGTGTGTGTGCACTTATATACAACGTATCAGAGTAGTGACATTGTCTTTCTCATTTATGATTCCGCCCCTCGCACACACTGGGATATTTGGCCATGTCTGGAGACACTTTTGGCTGTTTTACTGGGGAGGGTGCTACTGGCATCTTATAGGGAGAACCCAATGCTATTAAACAGCCTAGCCTATCGTGCGCAAGAAGCCCACCGCAGCAAAGAATGATGTGACCCAAATGTCAGTAGTGAATAGGGAGAAACCAATGCTATTAAACAGCCTATCGTGCGCAAGAAGCCCACCGCAACAAAGAATGATGTGACCCAAATGTCAGTAGTGCCCAGGACGAGAAGCCCTGCATACCCCAGCCCCAGAACAGTGTCCAGCAGTATGCTGAATGCATGAGTGCATACCTGAATGAATGAACGAGCAACGGTGGTGGCCTGGACTGGCCGGCAGCAGTGGGAATGGAGAGGTACCACAGGATGCCTGTATCTTTTGGAGTTATGCTGCACAGAATTTAGGGTGACAGGCTTTATCTTTTCTTTTTTCTTTTTTTGGAGAGGTTTTTGCTTTACGGTACGTGCGCTCACCAGAAAGGCAGCAAGAGACAGAGCGACAGAAAGCGAGAAATCACCCCCCGGGGGAATGGCCATGCCGCAGTACCTTCTCCTCCATTCTCTTCTCGGGATCTTGGGCACGCACACACACATGACCAGCGTGAGCTTAAGCTGCCGGGTCCGGGACTCGAACTGCGGTCGACTACATGGGAGTCCAGCGACATAGCCATTACGCTAACTGCTGGTCCCAACACTCTTTATCTTTTCAAAGGGTGGATATGCTCTGCCTTTGCATGGTGGTTTTATCCATCTGGGGCCTCGGTCATCTTCCAGCTTGACTTCTTGACCCCCCCTCGACTTGGGAAGTCCTTTGAGCAGCCTGGAAGCCAGCCTGGAAGCCTGCCCAGAATGAGCCAGGGTGTTTCTGCAGGCATGAAACTTTGCATGGTGTTTGAATAGTGCTGGGCCTGTTTATGGACAGGAAAAGCCACTGACCACAGGAGGCTTGGGTCATAGGGGCAGGGCTGGGGCCAGAAGGAGGGATAGGAACGGAGAGAAAAATGGATCCAAAAGCTTGGGCAGGGGTTTGGCAGGGTGGTATGAATGTGTTGGGGAGGGGGTTAAAATCCCCGTGAGAGGGATGACCATGAGGTAAAAACTTTCTGGGGCAAGGTTAGTATCTTTGAAGACAGGGGTTTAGAATTCTTCGATAGCTGAGGATTAGAATCCCTGTAGGGCAGGGTTGGAATCTTTGGACACGTGGATTAGAACCCAGAGAATTAAAATGGAGAAGGGGGAGATGGTGGTAGTGAGGTTGGGGTCACCCAGGAGCAGTATTAGAAGTCTCTGGGGTTAGGATTATAAACCTTGAAACCTTTAAGCCCTTTATAAAGGATTCCTTTGTAGAGGGGTTAAAATCCGTTGTAAAGGGGTTAAAATCCTTTGTAAAGGGGTTGAATCCTTTGTAAAGGGGTTAAAATCCTTCAGTTGGCTAGGTTAGAATCGTGAGCGGCAAGATTAGGTTTAAAAAAACCCTTCATGTGTGAGGTTAAAGATCCTTTGGGGAGGGAACCAGCAGTTAGCGTAATGGCTATATCGCTGGACTCCCACGTTGCCGACCGCGGTTCGCGTCCCGGCCCGGTGGCTTAAAACTCACGCTGGGCGCGTGTGCGTACGTGCCCAAGATCCTGAGAGGAGAATGAAGGAGAAGGGATTGCGGCGTGACTATCCCTCCTGGGGGGTGATTTCTCACTTTCTGTCTCTATGTCTCTCTCTCTCTCTGTCTGGCGAGCCCACGCGCCCTATAGCGAAAATCTCTCCACGGGGACAGGTCTGGATTGTGGGACAGGTCTGGATTGTAGGAGGAGGGCACCAGTGTTGGGGTTCTTAGGCCCGCGGTTCGAATCCCTGGGGGCGGGGTTTAGAGTCCTTGAAGACTTGATTAGAAGGCTGGACCAAAATACGTTGGAGAAGCAATTAGGATCTTGGGAGGAAGGGGTGGGAGTAAGCTTCTTTGGCGGACAGGTTAGAATCCTTGGGGACTGAGTTAGTATCCTTCGGGGGATGAGGTTAGCAGGGTTAGAGGGCTCCAGTGTGTGACGTTAAAAATATATATATTTGGCGGTAGCTTTAGGACCACTGGGGACAGAGGACGGAGGTTGTGACTTTCGGGGAGCCGGTTGCCATCCCCGGGGTGGGGTTAGAATCTTCAGGGGCGGTGTTAGGTCACTTCGGGGCGGGGTTCGCGTCGTTCCGGGCGCGGTTAAGGAGGCCAGATGGCCTGCGGGCGCCACCGAGTCCCTGGTTCCAGCCCAGGCTCGCTGCCGAGGCTCAGATGCGAGCGGCAGGGGACCGGGACCATTCCGCAAGAGAAGAACCGGAGAAGACCCGCGGCCCCAAAGCCGCTGGCGACGTCTCTCCAGCCTTGAGTTCCCCAAAGTCAGCCCCTCTTCTAGGCACGGGTGCCCCGGGACCCCGGGGGCTGCTGAGCTGGGGGGGCGTCCGAGCTGCGAGGATCCGGGCTGCCCGCGAGACGAGGAGCGGGCGCCCAGGTGAGTGCCACGGACTGGGGCGGGGACGGCCGGCCGGGGTGGAGGAGCGGGCCGTGGACAGCGCTGACTGGGGGCAGCCCGGGGCGCCGACAGGGAGAAGGGGACGTTGAGGAGGGCGCGGAGAGTCTGTGGCCTGGGGTCGACCCAGAGCAGAGGTGCTCAGGGGAAGGGCAGAACAGCCTCCGTCCAGGCGCGAACCTAGGACAGCCCGACAGTGGGAAAGCGAGGCTGGCAGTGACTGTACGCTCTAGCTGTCTTTTCTGGGTCGTCCAGGTTCCCCCTTCTGAAAAAAAGAGAAGGAAGGGATGGGGCTTCACGCAGCCCGGGAGGGGAAGGCCCTCGCGGTTCCCGGTGGGGGCGGGTGACTGGTCACGCCAGGTTGGCCGCGGGCATGGGGAAAAGGGCAGCTGGGCAGAGGCGTGACCTGCCAGCCACACCCAGGCGGGGCTGCAGCTGGTCGCCTCGGGGCTCTTCCTCCTCCTTCCGCCCTGGGCCCACCTCCTGCAGGTCCAGGTCAAACCCAAAAACCTCCTTGGACAGAGACCACGGAATGCCTTCCTCTGCTCTGGGAGGCCTTGGGCAAGTCACTCTTAGAATTCTGTAAAATGGGGGACCAGCAGTTAGCGTAATGGCTATGTCGCTGGATTCCCATGTAGCCAACCACGGGTCCAGTCCCAAACCTGGTGGCTTAAACTCACGCCGGGCGCGTGTGCATGCATGCCCAAGATCCCCAGAGGAGAATGGAGGAGAAGGAATTGCAGCATGGCCATCCCCCTGGGGGGTATTTCTCGCTTTCTGTCTCTCTGTCTCTCTCTGTCTATCTGGTGAGTGCACGCGCCCTAGAGCAAAAAAGCCTCTCAAAAAAAAAATTCTGTAAAATGGGGCTGTTGAGTCTCCGTGTGAGAGGTGATCTGTGTGGGGGTCAGTTCAGTGTGTGGTTAGGTGAGGGGCTTCTGGAGAAAATGTGCCTGCGGACTTTGGGCAGGGGCTTTGGCTTCTCTGTAGGATGGGGGTGGTAATACCCCCTGGTCCGGTTCATCTGAAGACTGACTTGAGTACAGAAGGAACGCTGGGAGAGTCTTGCCCGCTGGTATTTCGGTGCAATACTTGTTCAATATTGCCCTAGCTGTTACGGTCTGGCCTGGTGGTTCTCAGCTCCAACCTTCACCAGCATCACCAGGAAGGCTTGGTAAAAGAGAATACTGGGCTCTAACCTCAGAATTTCTTTTCTCCCTTTTTTTTTTTTGGATTTTTGTCACAGGGCGAGTGCACTCCCTGGAGAGAGGCAGAGAGAGAGAGGGAAAGCGAGAAATCACCCCCATAGCTATGCCACAATCACTTTTCCTCCATTGTCCTGTCAGGATTTTGGACACGTTCGCACACATACCTGGCATGTTTTGCAAGCTGCCGGGTCCGGGACTGCAACTGTGGAGTCAACCATGTGGGATCCAGCACCTTAACCACCACACCACTTGATGGCCCCTATCTAACCCCAGAGTTTCTGATTCCAGAGGTCTGGTGCCAAACCCTGAGAATATGCCAGGTGATGTTGATGTGGCTGGTCCAGGGACCTCACTGAGAATCCCAGGCGTAACTCATAGCTGGCACAGAGACCTCAGTAGATATCCATTTTGGGGGGGAGGAGATGGAGGCCAGGACGTTAAAATACAGAAAAGTGAAGAGAACGATATATTAATCATCTCGGGTATCCAAAACCCAGAACTAACAAATGGTATCATTTTGTCATGTTTGCTTCAGATTTTTAAAAAATGAATTTAGTAAAATTTACAGACAGAATTGGAATCTCTCCATCTTGAATATCTCTCAGTCCTGTTTCTCTCTGTCTCCAGAGGCAGCCACTGTCATGTCTTTCCAGTCAATGCCTTTATAAACTTATTGCCTACGCATACGTGTAAATGTTACATAGATTGTCTTCTGTGTGTGTGTGTGTGTGTTTCAAGGTTTAAATAGACTTTATTGTTATAAGGGGACCCTACCGAGCAGGGCCAATATACGTGGTCCCAGGATGTCGCCACGGAGACATCGAGAGGTCATGGTTGCAGAAGAGGTGACTGGAATTGAAGGACATGATCCAGGGGAAGCCAGTCAGGATTTAAAGATCTACGTAAAGGCTAACGGTGACTCTTACAATTCCCCCTCCCCCTTTCAATTAAGTTGTCCGGATTTATGCAGGAAACAGAGGTCTAATTCATCTCTCTAACTGCTCTGGTGTAGCCCAGCAGTTGACCACCCTTCATGATTGCTCATTTCCCTGTTGATGGACACTTAGGTTGCTCCCAAGTATTCACTACAACAAACAGAAGGGCTGGGACCACCCTGGACATGTGACTCTGGGCACATGTGCGAGTATTTCTTGGAGGTGTCTCAAGAGACTGGATGACTCCTCAGAGGGGCATCTAGTCACCCCCTCTTTTGTGTAAGAGGAGTACTGAGGCCCAGCAGGGTCACCCAGAGAGTCTGGGGGCAGAGAAGAGATTAGAATCCAGCTCTGTTGACCTCTACGCTCTCTCTAGGCCCACGGTCGTTCTCTCAGACCTCATGTTTTCGGCTGCAAGGCACTTCATCCACCTGGTCACTGTGCCTTGCATTTAGCAGGTGCTCAAAAAATGGAAGTATGAGTTTTTGGTGGTGGGGAAGATAACAAACATGTTGCATGGGATTATGTAGTCTTTCTATGTGCTTTCTAGATCACATAATTAGTACTGTGATGCGTACACAATTTTTATCCTACTTACTTGCTTTTGCATTACATTGTAAGCACTTTTTCCATGTCATTAAAACATCTTAAGATTTTGGGGATGAGCAGATGGTGAGGCAGTCATATCGCTGGACTCCCACATGACTGACTGCAGTTTGAGTCCTGGACCTGGTGGCTTGAAACTCATGCTGGGCATATGTATGTGCATGCCCAAGATCCCAGAAGGAGTAGGGATTGCAGCATAGCCATCCCCACAGGGGGATGATTTCTCACTTTTCCTCTCACTCTCTCTGTCTTTCTCTCTCTCCAGCAAGCACACATGCCCTAAGGCAAAAATCCTAAAATTATCGATGGCTGCATAATATTTCATTTTTTTGGATGCACTGTGAAGGTTGAACTTTTCTAGCATAGCACTCTTATGTAGTTTGTAATTTAAAAAAAATTTTTGATTGCCAGAGGGCATGAGCCCACCAGAGAGAGACAGAGAGAAACAGAGAAAGCAGCCCCCCCCCCCAGGGTGCAGTCCTGCCCCTCCTTTTCTCCATCCTGTTGAGACTTTGGACACACACACATCCAAACATATGCCACTGGCTCTGGGACTCCAACCACAGTCCACCATGTGGGATCTGGCTCTCTTAACCACTAAGCTATGGGGTAAGCCCCAAAATGTTTTTTAATTGAGGTGAAATTCACATAACTTTATACAACTCATTATTTAAAGTGAAAAATTCAGTGGTATTTGGACCACCATCTATCTCTATACAGCTGCAGGACAGTTCACCCCTCCAAAGGGAAATCTTATACCCATTAAGCAGGTACTTCCATGCCCCTCTTGCCCCAGTCCCTGGAAACTACTCATCTCCTTTCTGTCTCTATGGATTAATGAATTCTGGATATTTCCTATCAGTGGAATCATACAGTATGTGGCCTTTTGTGTCTGGCTTCTTTCACTTAACGTAGTCTTTTCAAGGTTCGTCCATGAGGTGACAGTACCAGCACTTCACTTCTTCTTGGCTAAATAGTATTCCATTGTGTGGCCACACTGCAATGTGCCCATTCATCCACAGATGGAAATTTCGGTTGCTTCTACCTTTTGACTATTGTGACTTGTACTGTGAAGAGCGTGCATGGGCACGTGTTTGTTTGAGGGCCTGTTTTCAGTTCCCTTGGGCATCTACCTAGAAGTGGAATTGCTGGGTCATGTGGCAATTCTGTTTAACTTTTTGAGGAATTGAGGAACTGTTTTCCACCGTTTTACATTCCCACCAACAATGCTCAAGGGTTCCATTTTTCTCTGATACTTCCTATTTTCATATTATTTTATTAGTGGCCATCCTAGTGGGTGTGGAAAGCATGAATCTTCTATTGTTGTTGTCGTTTTGCTATAGGGTGTGAGAGAGACAGAGAGAGAAAGCGAGAATTCACCCCCCCGCCCCGGGAAGATGGCCACACCACAATCCTTTCTCCTCCACTCTCCTCTTGGGATTTTGGGCATGCACATACATGTGCCCAGTGTGATTTTCAGGCACTTGAGTCTGGGATCAAAACCACAGTTGGTCATGTGGGATCCAGCCCCTTAATCTCCATGCTATCTGCTGGCCTAAAAGCATGATTTTTTTTGGGGGGGGAGAGATTTTTTGCTATAGGGAACGTCCACTCACTGGACACTGGAGAGACAGAAAGCGAGAAATCACCCCCTCCCCCAGGGGAGATGGCTATGCCACAGTCCCTTTTCCTCCACTCTCCTTTTGGGATTTTGCATACATATGCACATGTGCCTGGTGTGAGTTTTAAGCTGCCAGGTTCAGGACTCGAATCACAGTCAACTAAGTGGGAGTCCAGTGATGTAACCATTACACTGAGTCCAGATGTAACCATTATACCATCTGCTGGTCCTGAAAGCATGAATCTTAATATCATTTCACCCAGCCTGCTGTCTAGGGGGCCCTTGCCCCAGCAGGTGAGGAGAAGAGTGTCTGCATTCATGGGATTGACCAGAGCTTGGACTTTAAATTCTTCTAGAAAGTAGGTTCCACAAGTGCCCAACTGTGTCTTAATGCCTGGCACCTGGCGTGTAGTAGGGCCTAAACATATATTGAATGGATGAATGTAACGAATGTTGAAAAACCTCTCCTCTCCCTTGGCTGATATGTTTCTGGCCACAGGTATAGTTAAGTTGTCGCTCACCCCCTCCACACACACACACGCACACACACACACAAACACACAAACACACACACAGAATGATTTGTCCCAGGGCTGCCAGCTCTTCTACTTTTTT